CGGAGGTTGCAGTGAGCCAAGATTGTGCCACTGCACTCCAGCCTGGGTGACAGAGCAAGACTCCATCTCAAAAAAAAAAAAAAAAAGTTTAAAAAGTCACTAGGCTATAGTGCATGTGTTTAGAAAAGAAAATGTGTAAGAGGATCACTGAGAAACTTGACCGATGCCCTACTGCACAGGAGTCTTCACTTCATGCACTTTGGTATTGTCTGAATTTCTTATGACAAATATGCATCATTTTATTTAAAAAATATAGTGGACCTCACATTACTGACATGGAAAGATATCCTCAATGGTATATAAAATGAAAAATGCAGGTTATTCAACAATTTATATATATCATGTCTTCATTTAGGGAAAAAATTACCTATTTTTATATCTGTATTAAAATTCTCAGAAGATATACAACCAATTAATTAAAAAATACAGGATTTTCTACTTCACACACTCATACATTGTTTGATCTAGTAAAAGAAAAATAATTTCGTTTTTTTTTTTTTTGAGATAGGGTCTTGCTGTTTGTTCAGGCTGAAGTGCAGTGGCACAATCATGGCTCACTGCAGTCTCGACCTCCCACCTTAGAACCCCAATTAGCTGGGAATACACGCACGTGTCATGCCTGGCTAATTTTCTACTTTTTGCAGAGATGGGGTATCACTATTTGCCCAAGCTGGTCTCAAATTCCTGGGCTCAAGCCATCCTCCCACCTCTCAGCCTCCCAAAGTGCTGGGATTACAGGTGAGCCACTGGGCTTGGCCACTATTACTTTTACAACAAAAAAAGAGATCTCAGCCAGGTGTGATTGCTCACATCTGTAATCCCAGCACTTTGGGAGGCCGAGGTGGGTGGATCATGAGGTCAGGAGTTGGGACCAGCCTGGGCAACATGGTGAAACCCCATCTCTACTAAAAATACAAAAATTAGCTGGGTGTGGTCGCGCACGCCTGTAATCCCAGCTACTCAGGAGGCTGAGGCAGGAGAACTGCTTGAACCTGGGAGATGGAGGTTGCAGTGAGCCGAGATCGCGCCACTGTACTCCAGCCTGGGTGACAGGATGAGACTCTACCTCAAAAACAAAAACAAAAACAAAACACAAGAATTGAAATTTTTTGACATTATAATACTGGTGATATTTAAGTTTAGGAAGGTATTCATTACATCAAGAGGTAAAGATGGGCTCACAATTTGCATCTTACCAGAGGTTATATTTATATTTCCAGCTTCGATTCCTGCTTTAAGTCCTTCTTTCCCCAAAATCCCAGACTCTCCTTTGGCCAGACGCTCCCTCTCCTTCTCTTCCAAACTTCCATAATAGATGTGTGGCTTCTTCACAACCGGAGCAACTAAGTCATCAGGCGCTTTAGTTTTGGTTGCCTGCTAAATCAAAGATCTGAATTAAACTAAGGCTTAACCTTAACAATTTACCGGACTTCCCCAGAGGACGAAGCTCACCCTGAGTTTCTCAGTCCTACTTCCTCCGTAATTGAAGGGACAAACTGGACACTGCTTAAGATGTTCTTCATTGATTTGAGGAGATGAGGGTAGGGGGAGGGTGTTTCAGTCCCTCACTTTGGTTGTCAGGATTGATAAAACTAGCGAGGTTCTCTCGGGTATTTTTCTATCAAAGGTTTGCTCTGGAATCTGTACTTCATTCTGTTGGAAGTGTGCAATCTCGTGTTTTACAATGCTTCCAGGGTTACTGCTCATCACTGGGGAAATACCAAGGATAGACGAAATAACCAACGCGGTGCTAAAGAGGAACAAGTTACAAGATTACTAATGTATATATTTCAAACGTTTCTAGACGTGGGGTAGTAGGAGTTAGGAGGTCTCATTAAAATTCTGAGATCTGCCAAAGGCATAAACCTTGGCCAAGACACTTCCCTATTTCAGAGCACCGTTACTGGATCAGTCGGAAGAGATGTTTGCCCTTCGGGGATGTAGTAGGAAAGGTGCAAATAAGCTATAGTCCACGAAAGCGCTTAGGGATCAGGAAAACTGTGCTCCGCTGTCTAGGACACGACTGAGTCCCACCGCCTTCTCCCGTTCCCTAACGGCCCCTTCCCGCAAGGACCCCTTCCCCCTTCGCGCTTCCTGCCAGAGTGAGCTGAGATCCCGGGCTCTGTACCGTGGAGGAAGCTCGCGAGGAAGCCATGCTGGGCTCTGGAGAAAAGCTCCAGCGAAACCCGAGCTCTCCGATTCGGACCGTCCACCGCGCGCCCAGGAGAGCGGATGGGCATCATCCGACCGGAAGTGCGTCACCTACCGGACGTGTGCCGAGAGCCGTCGCCGCGCCCGGAGCGGCGCGGAGCATGATGGAAGTCGTAGTAGGAAGCGGTGTGATCGTATTGACTGGCATGCCTCCTAGAACCTGTGAGAAAGCTCGCGCAAGACGAGGTTCTGCTGAGAGAGAGGCTCCAAGTAGTCTGGGAAGTGTAGTCCAGTTGGTTTACCAGTAGTTTCGTTGGGGGAGCGGAGGTTCCGGGAAGGGGCTGAACAGGCTTGAAAAGAGGTAGGTGCGTCGCGTCGCGCGACTCGGGGCTGAACTCTGGAGCGAGTCGAGGACTTCCGGGGTCCGCTGTGCCCCCCGGGCCTACCGGAGCGTTTAAGTCTTCCTGGAGCCGAAGACCTTGTTACCATGGAAACCCTCGCCAGGGATCCGAGGTACAGGCCTGGAGCTAGGGGACAAGGGCTGTTTTCCTCCACGGTCCGGAAGTCTTCTTCGGGGCCACCTCTGAGCTTGATGGCTCCGCGGTGGATTTAGGCTGCGGCGAGAGTTTAAGCTAAAAGAGCCATCTAGTGCCAAAGTCAAATAAAGACCCGGCGGAGGAGCTTCGGCCTGATTTTGTTGATTTGTATTCAGTCGGTCGTTGTATCAGATTGAGAGTAAGACGATGGATAGGAAGGTGTCAGGTAGCTCTGTACGTCCCTGTGCCCTGCTGGATGCTGGGGCATTAGAGATAAGATAAGTTTTTTTTTTCTTTTGAGACGGAGTCTCACTGTCGCTTAGTCGCTCAGGCTGGGAGTGCAGTGGCGCGATCTCGGCTCAGTGCAACCTTCGGCCCCCCCCCCCACCACCCTGGGTCAAGCGATTCTCCTGCCTCAGCCTCCCGATTAGGTGGGATTACCACCACCGGCCACCGCGCCCGGCTAATTTTTGCATTTTTAGTAGAGACGGAGTTTCACCATCTTGGCCAGAGTGATCTTAAACTCCTGACCTCGTGATCCACCCGCCTCGGCTTCCCAAAGTGCTGGGATTACAGGAGCGAGCCACCGCACCCGGCCAGGATAAGGCTTTCATCCCCACGTGGGCGGTGGAAGATTCTGAAAATATTGACGTTTCCCTAGCTGGCCAGATCCCCATCCAACCCCCTAGAAAAATTACAGTTATAATAGATGTTATTTACTGAACATTTTTTAAATGCAAAATTATGTTCCAAGAGCTTACTCTGCATTTATGTTATTCACCTACAATAGCAGAGTAGGTTACAGATGAGGAAACTAAGGTCTAGTGAGAGATGAAACTAATTGTTCAAGATCAGTGGTGTAGTGGGATTAACCCCTACAGCCACACTTTTGACTGTTGCTTCCTAGTGGAGAGATTTTCCCAGTTTGCAGAAAAGGTAAAATGTGTAGCAGATTTTTTTTTTTTTTTTTGAGACGGACTCTTGCTCTGTCACCCAGGCTGGAGTGCAGTGGCACGATCTTGGCTCACTGCAACCTCCGCCTCCCGGGTTCAAGCGATTCTCCTGCCTCAGCCTCCTGAGTAGCTGGGATTACAGGCGCCCGTCACCACGCCTGGCTAATTTTTGTATTTTTAGTAGAGACGGGGTTTCACCATGTTGGTCAGGCTGGTTTCAGACTCCTGACCTTCTGATCTGCCCGCCTCGGCCTCCCGAAGTGCTGGGATTGCAGGTGTGAGCCACCGCGCCCGGCCCTTACTGACTGTTTTTATGGATACGCTCTAGGGGATTTTAGGGGATGCTGTGGAGAATATACAAGTGATGCCATCAACAAATATTAAACTCAATTGGGGGAGTTGTGTTTTCTCAAAAAACAAACAAAACAGCTTTTATTAACCTTTACTTTGGGATTTCAGGCTGTGGAATGCTCTCTTGAGCCTGGTTTTTGTTTTGTTTTGTTTGAGTTGGGGGTCTTATGGTGAGATCGTGGCTCACTGTGGCAACCTCAAACTCCTGGGCTCAAGTGGATCCTTCCATTTCAGCCTCCTGAGTAGCTAAGACTACAGGCACACACTACCAGCCCAGCTACTTTTTTACTTTTTTGTGGAGACAGGGTCTTGCTATGTTTCCAGAGCCGGACTTGAGCCTCCTTTGTGCACTCTTCTCTGTACCTGCCCTTCGGAGTCAACTAAGACATCATTTTCTCCAGGAAGGCTTGCCTGACGTCCTTGTCCACCCCACACTCAGCCCAGACTGGATTAGGTGCCCGTGTGACGCCAGTGCCTTACCCTCATCAGAGTTTTCATTATGCAATATCACAGCTTTCTCTTTGTTTTCTCCACAGATTATGACTGTACCTTTTAACTTTGTAGCTGGAGCACAAGAAGTATTTGTTTAATGAATGACGGACACATTTAGGCTCTGTTTAAACGCTGAGAATAATCCTGTGAATTGGTGAGTTGGCGTTTTCATGAGATTTAGCAAACTGATTCTGGCATTCAGGAGTGATCACAAATCTCTGACAGTCCTCATGTAGATTAAATTCAGCGGTTTGTCCACTTTCCCCACTATACTAAGTTAAGATGTGACAGTTTATTCTTTTAGCTAGAATATTTCTTTGAATGTGACTGGAACATGAAATTAAAGTGATGTTGCCTGGAATTTCTCTCTTATAGGCAGTTTGCTATTTTAAATTCTTACAGAAAGAGTTTTTTGATTTTTCAGAGTTGTGGATCTCCATAATCTATTAAAAATGTAATAATGACATACCTAAAGGCTTAAGAAGTCGGCCGGGCGTGGTGGCTCACGCCTGTAATCCCAGCACTTTGGGAGGCCGAGGCGGGTGGATCACGAGGTCAAGAGATCGAGACCA